TTAGCTGTAGTCGCTTATGTGATATGTTACCATATTTGGGACTCTCTGCTCGTGTACTATAGCTATGCTTCCGGACTCTTCTGGTACTGTCTAGGACAATCCGTACTACTCCAGAACGGTCTAGACAGGTCTATGCCTTACTCATCTCTTACTCATCCTATGGTGCGATACGTCGCAATTCTTTTGTCATTGTATTATTCATCGCACTATGGTACATGTGACTAACCACTCTTCGATTAGTCATGGACACTTCTCTGTAGTATATAAGGACTTCAGATTGCATCCTCCCTCTTCAGTCTTTCCTTACTGACTGAAGAGTGAGTACTTCATTACCTTTACCTCTAACTTGTAGTTACTTACTTAACCTTTGTAGTCTTGCTTCGACTCTAGGTACAGTTTGTTACTGCAATATAGTCTTTCCTTACTGACTGAAGATCTTGCTTCGACTCTAGTCGGATCTAATCCTTGTCTTCACAGCCCCGAGTTTATCACAGTATCAGGGAGGATTCCTGGTGCACCAAAGGGCTGACTCTTGTATAGTGCAAGCCAGGTTTTGTTGCGCCATTCTATGAGCAGGTTTTGAGCACGCTCGAGGTGCTTGTCTCGCTGGGTCGCTGGGGTGAACAGCGACCAGTTGGCAGGGTCGTAACGGTTGACCCGGGGATTCAATGGCTCCGCTGATTCCACGACTCGTGCGGCGTGAACCGGACATCGGGGAGCATCTGCATCGTCGACTGGAGTCTTGGGTGTGGCCATCTCCTGAGGTACGTCACTGACAAGTCCTAGCAGATTGCGCTCAGTGTCGTGTGGCAGAGAGGGTGGTTGGGGCAACGGATCGCGCATCCTGAGATGGTGAGCACAATTATCACAGCATTCCCCCGTGGGAGCTAATTGTAGCACATCAGTTCTCATGCCCCTATACAACAATATGTTACATACGTTTCCGTGCAGGTGGGTTGTCAAAATATTTGTCAATGACATCTCGTCAGCATTGTTCGATTGGGACCTCGACCCATCTCCTCAGCCCTGGTTCAATTGTTTTCTTATAGACGATTGTGTCTCCGTCCTTGTGTGTGGATCTTCCGACCTCTTGGAATACTGACGGTTGTATGAGGAGCACTGCCCTGGCCTGGATCGACACATTCCGTCCAGCACGGCCCGCCCGCTGTAGCCATGTCGACAATGAGTCCGGAGCCTTGAATTGTACGACACGGGCAATATCAGGTATATTGCATCCCTATAACTTGTAATCAATGTAAATCCTCAGTAGCCGCTACTATACTCACCATGCCTGCCGCTTCAGTAGCCAGGAGTATATCAATATCCCCTTCTAGAAACTGTGACATTACGCGCGCCTTGGATGCTTCCTCTCGCCGTGCATTATAGCACCGCACACGGAGATATAGTGCTGCTGGTAAGTGCTTCTGAAACCAACGACGTGCCTTCATCGAGACTGTTATGTCATCGAAGAAGACCATGGTTTTTGTGAGACGAGACACATTTAGGAGGGTGGGGAGTAGAAAATCAAGCTCATCAAGTTCTGGTCGTCCGGCCTTCATGTATCGGACTTCCCACGTGATGTTGTGACGGTCATTTCCAAGATTGAGGTAGAATGATGTTGTAGGGTCGATGTTCATAGTATCATGGACGAGTTTGAGGACATGTGGAGGCATGGTTGCTGAAGTGACTTGAACCGGGGTACGGTAAGGAAGCAGCGCACGAATGGCCTCGAGATCTGAGTATTCAGGACGGAATTTGCCACCCCACTGGGCAATGCAGTGAGCCTCGTCAACATGTAATGCGAGAACACGTTTTCCGAACTCCGGGCTACCGAGGACCTCTCGGAAGCTGCACTGTGGGTCCACACACATCTTCGGCCCAACGGGGATGACTGAGTAGCTTCCGAGTTTCACCGCCTGCCACCACAATCATCAGGAAAACGTCACGGACTTGGACCCATACTTGGGCCCAAGTTCATGTACTTGGACTCAAGTCCATGTACTTGGCCTCAAGTCTGTGTACTTGGACTCAAGTCCGTGTACTTGGCCCCAAGTCCATGTACTTGGCCCCAAGTCCATGTACTTGGCCCCAAGTCCATGTACTTGGTCCCAAGTACACGGACTTGACCCAAGTCTATATACTTGGGGTACTTGGGGTACTTGGGCCACAACTTGGACTTTACATGTTGACTTCAGTATACTCAGGCCTCAATTTGAGCAATTGGTGTTCTATCAGTCACACATCTTGTATACTTCTTATGTAATAATATCTATCATAGACATCCATACACTAGTTGTAAACCAGTCTGTTTTAAGGCTGTAGAAGCAGCTTTATAGTCTATTAGAAGAAGGGCAATAACATGTGATAGAAGACTTTAAGTTGTTACAATGTGCTTGTTTCAGTAGTGATACAGAGGTACAATATCCAGATAATAGCTCAAGAATAGTGGTATCAGTGTGGATGTCCAAGTTCTGCTGTGGTACAGGTGAGGATGGTGAAGAATTTC